TATATAAATTATTTAATAAAAAACATTTCAATAATAATTTGGCGGAAGGCGCGCTCCCAGTATATTTCTGATATAGAAGCGCCCCTGAGTCAGAGCGTCACGTGACCGCCCGGCGACTCGGCCGTGCGGTGATAGGGGTCGTGCGCCGGAATCGGCCCGAAATGTGCACATCCTTGCGACCACTGTTGTAAATAATAGCAGAAAATCGTTTAGGCTCAGTTCCACAACTCACGGTTTACTTTTAACCACTTTTAGGCCCAGTTTCACAATTCACGGTTAACTCTAAAGGCCCGTCTACAATACACGGAGTAAGAAGTAAGAGTAAGAAATTGACCAATCACAGTCGAATGTGAGAAGAATAATCGAGGTGATTGGTCAATTTCTTACTCTTACTTCTTACTCACTGTATTGTAGACAGGCCTTTAACCGGGGTTCAACTTATTCATTGGTCGCGTTCAGCAGACTCAACTGTTGTAGAGCAGATCCGTGAGCACTCGCTGCTATTGGTGTATTCTTCTAGATCATCCAATAGCAGCGAGCGTTCACGGATCCGCTCCACACAGTTGAGTCTGCTGAACGCGACCTTTGTCATCTTGAACGCGTCCAGTCCTTCCATACCGTATTTGTTTTCAGGTTTCCACTCTATATGTTTCTTTGATCCTTTCTACTCGTGGTCAGACGAGTCGTGCAAGCGCAGCCTGGTTAGGTTTATGTCTCATGCGTGAAAAGTAACAGAAAGGACATACGAGATGGTAAGAAAATCGATTTTTCATGTGCGAGCGTACATCGGGGTTTTCTCTTTTGTCGATTTTGCGTGATCGCCCGTTTAATTTCCTTGAGAATCATCGCGCTCGTTTGCGCCGTTTACGAGCTTTGCCGTCTCCGGCACTCCATATGTAATACCTTTCCTATGAATACCTTCCCTTCGAATTGATTTATACAATGTTCTCCGATAACATCTGAGACAAAAATTTTTCATTAACGCAATAATAACTGCAAGAATATAAGGATCCAAGCTTGTCAGCACGTGATTACATTCCTCGGTAATATGTGCACGTGTAGAGACACGATGTCTGGTCCGCCATTGCGGTAGCTGTCGCGTTTGTGAAGCACGAGCACATAGGCTTTGTGGACCCTTGAACAATGGTTACGTTCAGCAGACTCAGCAGTTTTGCAACCGTTTTATGATTCGTCGCGCTGATTGGATTGTACTTTTAGATTTAAAGGAATAGTCCTATTTCTCTCTCAGCGAAGAATCACAAAACTGTTGAGTCTGCTGAACGCAGCCAATGATCAAGAAATCGATTATGTATCTTGAAAGGTAAAAATTACAAAAGTGAGCAAATTCACTACATTCTAAAAAAAATTTTATGGATTTCGCACCATACTGTTACTATAATTCTATATAATTTTCACAACTGAATAGATATTAACAATAGTGGCTTTCCATTTACACCGATTCTCAGATCATTCTCACTTGTGACATCATAACTCAGTTGAATGTGCGTTCTTTTTACATATGAAACTTTTTATCAAACAAAGCAAATAATGACGCCATTAATCTGAGTATAAAATACTCAGCTCACACTTCAGACTCAGTTTCACTTGTGTGAAAACGGAAAGCAACTATTAATATGATTATGTGGATTTGACACCATGGCCCATATTCAGAACGCTTTTACAACGATGTGTTAGCACGCTAACATATACTTTACGTTACACATATAGAATTTCAGAGATAAAAACGTGTTCTGAATACAGGCTATAGATTTTAAACCCATCTTATGATGGTGTTAACATTGATAGTAATACCAAGGGTCTTAAATTCATACCATATTGGTCTTAATGATTACATTTACATGGCACCATTAATTGAGTTTAATAACATCCGTAGTTATGAAACTGATCACAATCGCTCCATTCTTCCGATAAACAGCTATGATTAGCCAATTTTATAACTACGGATGTATTGAACCTAATTAAGTGTGCCGTGTAATAGAAGTCAATATTAAATAAGATGAAAATCACAAAAGTGAGCGAATTTATTAGAATATTTGTGACTTTTTTTATTGATCAATAACCTACATTCTAAATATCGATATAGCACAGTTAATCTATATAATTCTTACTGTGTTGGTGTTAATATTGAGTTGGAGGAAAAGTTTTGTGGTATTTTGTTAACTCGAAATTATATATACAATATCTTCGTTAAAAATGATCAAGAGTTAAATTTAAAAAAGTTTTAAAGCTTGTGAAATCTCTACTTTCAAATGGTTACTATATTTTTTGAATTTATGTGAGTTTTATAATTTTTATATATAGAAAAAAATACGAGCTGAAAAAAAGGGAAATTTTTTTTCTTTGTGGGTCTGTCACGTGCCAAAAAATTTTGCGAAAATTTTCGACTATCTATATCGTGAAAGTTTGGAGTTTTCCTTATAAAATTGTTTTTAAAAAATGTTTCTACAATCTTTTGTACTTGAGTTATTCGCGAGTTAAGTAAAAAGAAGCATTCTGACTTTGATTGCTCATAACTCCATTAAAAATCATCATACTGCAATTAAAAAAACAGATTCTTAAAACTGAAACATTGCTCTACTGAATAGTATCATGTTAATTTTTTAAATGTAAAATGTATAGAAATATTTGAGTTAAAAATGTGATATTACTATCCTTAAATAACCATTACGCAATAGAAAAAAGGATAGTAATATCACATTTTTAGCTTAAATGTACATATTTCTATTTTTTTTTAAATTGGCAATTACACCACTTGATAGAGCAACGTTTCAGCTTTAAGAATCTGTTTTATTAACCCTTACTATACAAAGTCGGGTTGCTAGTGACTGAGCGATTCCTGTTCATGCAAGTTTCTTTGAGCCTTTTGATAAATTATACATTTTATTATTTTCCAAAATAAAGTTCCAATATTTATTCTAGAAAGTTATTGCAAAATTGAAAGCATGTTGATGAATCTTTAGAGATTTTTTGAACCATTCTGAATAAGTGAAAAAAACGGATAGATTCTAGTGACCCATGTTTGGATGGATGAGGCACCAAATTGTACCTTTTATTGTAAGGGTTAATTACGGTACGATGATTATTTAAACGGAATTATGAGCAGTCAATATCAGAATGCTCTTTTATTTAATCTTCGTGTAACTTGATAACAAAAAGTTATAGGAACGTTTAAAAAAAATGAACTTTTAGGAAAAACTTTAAGCTTTTACGTCAGATAATCGAAAATTTCGTAACAAATATTTTGTATATAATTTTGAGCTAACAAAATACCACAGAACTTTTTCTCCAACCCAATATTAACCCTTACCATACCATCTACAATTTGGTGTGCCTCATCCAAACCATCAAGGGTCACTTCAAATCTCTTCGTTTTTTCACCTCTTCAAAATAATAAAAAAAATCTAAAAATTCACCAACATATACTTTCAACTTTCTAGAATAAATATTGACTCTTTATTTTGGAAAATAATAAAATGTAGTATATAATTTATAATTACCGAAAGACTCTAAGGGTGCGTTCCGAGTTACGCATGAAGCGCATGACGCACCATTTGTCCTTGTTGTTCACGAAATAATAAAGAAGGGTAAAACGATACATTATGCGCTTCATGCGTAACTTGGAACGCACTCAAAGAAATTTGCACGAACAGGAATCGCTCGGTCACTGGTTACCCATATTAGTACAGTAAGGGTTAACATCAATATGGTTAGATTCAGTAGACCCTACATTCTGTTAAATCTGATTTTTTAGAGTGTAGATATTGACCAATGTGTGACATTACAAATATTCTAATAAATTTTCTCATTTTCGTATTTTTACGCATTTCAAGATACATCATCGCCAATAGTAAAAATTATGTTATGAATGAGCGTAATTTTAGCGGAAAAGAATCCTGATGGTGCAGATAAAAACAATTTTTTTTTTAATCTATAATTGTAGCAATATATTGTATTTTTTGTAGCTATGTGCTAAACAGTATTACAGACATCCATGAAATCTAAATTTCTGAAAATGTTTTTCAGTGATATTTATAAATAAACTCAAATTGAAGGGCAAGAAGTATATGATGCATTATTCTTATAAATAACGTTATTATATATTCATCTGTGGCGCCGAGTGGCTCGCTACTCAGTGCGATTGACTCGTGATCTGTGGATTCGGGTTCGATCCAACTTGTGCCCCATATACGCGATTTTTCGCGTTCACCGTTCAGCGGTAATCTCCTCGAGTGTTAACAAACTCTAAGGAGTAAGAATGCAAACTACTACCAAATGCAAAAACATAAGCGAACCTCTGCTCCCCGAAGAGGTTCTGAAGCTAAATTGATATGCATAGTACTGTAACCCCTCAAAAAATGGGGTCGGAAAACAAAAAAAAATAATATATTTATCTGAATTGTTGTAACATTTTTCTTTTTTTTAGTCGTTATCAACGGCGCGACCACTTATTACGGTCTATACTGACAAGAATGAGGCATCGGGTGATACAATTTCCCTGCCATCTGTCTTCAAAGCACCAATTCGTCCTGATATCGTTAATGTCGTCCATCAGTTGATTTCTACAAACAGAAGACAACCGTACTGTGTTTCTAAAGAAGCCGGTAAATATCGGTGGCTATGTTCAGTAGAAAAAACAACTTTGTAACTGTTGTAAATTTCTTTTACATAATTAGTTAGACGTTTAGATCCAGCAAGGATCCAAAGATAAGAATCAATCATGTTAAAGAATCTTACTACAGTTGCAACTGCTTTTTCTGCTAAGCCATTATCTTCATTTTATTAATTTCATTATTATTACGATGATTATTACAATATTTGAATAATAATTAAGCATAAAAAGATAATTGTTTTTATTTTTCGCAGGTCATCAAACCTCTGCTGAGTCATGGGGTACTGGACGTGCTGTGGCCCGTATACCTCGTGTACGTGGCGGTGGTACCCACCGTTCTGGTCAGGGTGCTTTTGGTAACATGTGCCGAGGCGGGCGTATGTTTGCACCTACTAAGCCGTGGCGTCGTTGGCATCATCATGTCAACGTCAATCAGAAGCGTTATGCTCTCGTTTCTGCCATTGCCGCCTCTGGTGTTCCTGCGCTTGTCCAATCTAAAGGTATGTGTCTTTTATGTAGATAATATTTTTTGTTAAAGAAAACGAAATTTTTAAAATTCTTTTTCGAGAGAGATTTTAGTATTGCAATATTTTTATATCGAATATAGAAATATTTTTCTGTTTTCTTTAATAATTTGAACAAATTACGAAAAGTTATTATATCACGTTCTAATATGTTTAAAAATAATCTAAGTATTTCTGAATAAAATAGACAGACTGTGATATACTTTGTATTTTTATACTTGTTCATAGGACACTTGATCCAAGAGGTTCCGGAATTCCCGCTCGTTGTTTCTGATAAGATTCAAGAATACACGAAAACCAAGCAGGCTGTCATCTTTTTGAGACGCATTAAGGCTTGGAATGATATCCAAAAGGTTTTAATTTCTTTTAGTCTTAAAGATTCTTCTGTATTGCCTTCTGTCGTGTCCATGTGCACCAATAAATGTCCGCATCTTTGCTAAACAAAATTAAGCTTAGATGCTCCTAATAGGTGCTATAGGAATATGGTATTCAGGCGTTCTTTACTAGTTGATTTGCGCTCACTAGCAAGGGGTATGAATCACCAAACAATTTTCTTTGTACTTTTTATAAGTATTCGAGTTTGTTAAAAAAAGGTTTAGGGTGCTTGCATGGACTGCTAGAGATCCGGCCGAGGTAATATTTTTTGCAATAGATAAATTTATTTACAGATTTCCAACATATCAAGATCTCTTTGATATCTTTTGAGCATTAAATTTAATTGATATTACTGGGTCTGCCGTGTTTTAAAAGTCCAAAAAAATTTCGACGCGCAGTTCAAATGACTACAAAATATATAATATATGTATATGTACATATATATATTTATATATAGTATATACAAATTCACGGGAGGATCCCGATTACACACACCACTCATATCAGCTGGTAATTTTTCACTGCTTTACCAATGAGAATATTTTATTTTTTAATTGGCCAATTAGCGACGCATGTGTGCAATATGCAATGTGTGCAATCGGAGCCTTTTCCAAATTCACATAGAATTATTTAAAGGATTAAAAATTTTAAAACAGCTCTTTAAAACAATTTCAACCGTTATGGCCCTTATTCCTCATTGGTCATTTTCATTTTTTAAAAGATTAAGGAACCTATTCTGTAACTCTTAACATGTAATTGTAACGTTTACAGTCGTTAAGAGTTAAGCCCAATCTACACAAGACACAGAACGCGAGTCACAGGTCGCAAGCTTGTTGCGTCAGCCAATTTCAAAGTGTCACTTTTAAAATTAACGCGTCGGATGGGCTAATGCAACAAGTTTGCAACCTGCGACTCGCGTTCTGCATCTTATATAGATCAGTCTTTATAGAATAGGTCTCTAAAATTCTTATGAAGAAGAGGCAATTAATCAAATCCATGTGATTTATATAAGTTCTTTCTAAATTTTTAACCAAATTATTTTATTAAATTAGATTTCATTTATTTTTTACTAGGTGTATAAATCTCAACGTTTTCGTGCTGGTAAAGGTAAAATGCGTAATCGCCGACGCATTCAGCGACGTGGACCTCTAATTGTATATGGCCAAGATCAGGTAAGCAATTTTCTTTTAAAATAGCTTTCTGTATTGTCTGGCAATTCAATCTATAAACAGAATTCAAATTAAAATAAATTTTATTCACATTTATATGCAAACTTAATTATTAAGCCTAGGAATTATAAAAAATTGTTATATAAATCACATTATAATTTCTAGGGTATTCGTAAAGCATTCCGCAATATCCCAGGCGTTTCTCTAATGAACATCAACAAGATGAATCTGTTGAAGTTGGCACCTGGCGGTCACGTCGGACGCTTTGTAATCTGGACGAAGTCCGCTTTTGAGCAGTTGGATGCCCTTTATGGAACCTGGCGTAAAGAATCACAGCTTAAGAAAGGATATAACTTGCCATTTCCTAAAATGGCCAATACGGATCTATCCAGACTTCTAAAGTCTGAGGAAATTCGCAAAGTCTTAAGAGCTCCTAGGTAATTATAGGCGAAGAAAAAAAGGTCT